TTGGAAAGCGCTCCCGCAAAGCGGCGAGTTCGAACTGGATCCCTCCCTGCCCAGCTCCCGAGCTACAGCGGAGATCCCTGCAGGGCTGCGCCGGGCCTGACTCTGCTTCTCCCGTTAATCCAGGAGCTGCGGCACATGGGCAGCCACTAAGCAAGGACTTTTTCCAGTCGGGGCAGGTACCAGCAATTAATAACCTGACGTGAAAAGAAAAGAGTGCTTTCTTCCCCCTTGGGGTTTTTCTTCACCTAAAAGCACAGACACGTACAACTGCGGTCTGTACAGTAATCTTACAAGAACGTGAATAAAAAAAAAGAGTGTCGAAAATGCACCTGACATCTGTCCCCTGAAACTTCTTACTCTGTTCCCTTCAGTCAGATCAAACTTTCAGAAAGAAGCATTTGAAAACCTCTCTGGACCTATCTGAGGTACATACATGAACTCTCCCAAGTGCTTCCCTTCTCCAAATGGCATCTTTACAAGATAGAGGCATATATATATATATACACACACACATATACACACATGTATACACTTATATATACCAAGCCACCCGGAAGCGGCCTGGTTTTAAGAAATGCAGTCCAATATGCCACAAGAGCAGAGGGCGGCACAATAATTAGTTTAGTCTTTAGCTCAGAAACCCAGAGTCAAATAAATTAAGCAGCCACACTTTCCAGCAAGAGGAGTTCTGCAGAGAACAAGTGCAGGTGCTTTTCTCTTACCGCAGAGCAGGTGCAGTTTTATTTATAACCACGCCTGTCCACCTTCTTGTGGAAAAAGATATGTCAATCAAATATTAAAGTTAACTGAAACAGAGTGGGGGAGGCACGACTTTACTCACTTTTTGATGATTCATTTGGATTTTGGTAGATCTGATGTCGGGAGTCTCACATAATAGCATTTTCTCTGACACACTCAGCTTCTCCATATAGTCACCTCTGGGTCAAACTTTTCCATATATGCTCTTTTCCATATATGCTTTTGCATATGTGCTCTTGCACCAAACATACATTTTGAATCAGACTACAACACCTTCTCCAGATCTGTCCATGCCAGTTTTCAGGTCTCACCTCCTCTGGATACAAATCTGTGTAAGAAAGGCAACAATAACTTGGTTTTAGTAAGTGAGGCACAGCATTCATTGAATTTGTTAGCCACACCTCCATGGAAATTCTCACTTTATTCTAGTTGGCCACTAAAGTACAGCCATCTCTGCCAAACAGGCTTTGTAATATTGCTGCTTAATCCTACCTTTTTTTGTATGAAGTCCACCCAGAGAAGTCTGTAGTGAATTTCTGTGTGGTCAAAATTCCAGAAAACTTTTGCAAGCGCGACTTAGAGAAACCCAGACCTTCAGTGTGTCCCAGATGCTGTTTCCATTTAACTGCCCTCAAAGTATAGTGCCTTAGACTCTAAAAATAAAGCCTGCGCTTTCAAAATCTGGAGTCTTAACAGACCAGCTTCCATATGGAGTCTCATGGATTTAAATGGAATTGCCGTGTTGTCTCTTAATCCAAGGTTAACTGCTAAGAGTAGAAAAGAAAAAGCATCTCCAGACATTTTACCCTCCCGCAGGCCTTGTTGAAAACATCCACCACTTCTGGTGAGGCTGGAGTTAACCCAGTTGGCAGGAACTGCTCCAGCCAAACCATGCCGGTTTGCTGCACCACTACTGACACAATAATTGGTGACCACTGCAGGGGTCTTTTAATCCACCATTTTCTTTGCTTCCAATCAAGAAACAAGGAGAAAAGAAAGCCACAGGACAATGGTGTGTTATGTGGAAATACCCTGTGCCCTGGTACAGCTGTCCTCCTCTCCACTCCTCACCCAGCGGAGCAAGGACACACACAGACACGACTATTTTGCCTCACTTCATCCAGGCACCCACTCAGCTTCTTACCAGAAAAATCCTACTTCAGCACATGAAAGGAGACAAGGCTGGTTCCCATTTCTTTCCAAATTTTCAGTTATTTCTCCACTAGCCTCTGCCTCAAAGTGAGGCTGGGAGTCTAGCTCCCCACTCAGCCCAGAATTTAAGATTGGGGTAACAGTTTGCCAGCCCTTGCCAAATGGCACTCTTCTTTAATGCCTGCTTCCCCCGATAATTTTCTGGTAATTCAAAACGTCACACAATAAAAAGGAGATAGTTCATAAAAGTAACAGTCTGTAAAATAAATCTCCTCTAAAGAGCTTGCAATCTACACAGAAATCCTCAGAAACATGCAGGTGGCTGAATGAGACTAAAAATAGCTCTTGTCACCATATACAGACTGAAGGGACCGTATGCAGACATGTAGATTCAGAAACTGAAATTCAGATGTGCTGAGCACAAGCAGCCAGGGAAAACCACCAAAATCAACAGAATCACACAGAAAATAATTCTCCTCAGTTTCTCCCTTCAGATTTTAAAATACTCATGGATGTCTCTGCTTGGACGTTATCAGCTCTGTATTCGGATTAGTGCAGTTTTGCAAAACAGACGAGAACCAGCCTCTTTTTAGTGTGCTTTATTCTGATGCCTGCATCTCCCCTTCTTGGATATTTCTAAAAAATCCCCTCTTGCGTTACAAAAAAGGTGACTGAAACAAATAGTGCTTTAGATAGACAAGCCAAACACCCCATGGTTAGCCAGATTTATTTTTAACCTTCTGCGAAAGATGGGGCACAGGGAGTATCTTGCTGCCGCTTCAGAAGAGAGCTCCACAGAAAAGGCTGTTGGCAACACTTTCTGGGGAGTGGGAAAGGAAACAAAAATCCTTGTTGCCCACCCAAAGATGGTGAGACAAGGTTTTGAAGGGGAATGATAGCATAAGCTGATGCCCTGCTAGGAGCTGGATGTGCACCCATCCTCCCCTACTATCTCCTGGGGGAAACCTTGCTGCTGATGCAACACAGAAGCCCATTGAATCATGCACCTGCCCGATGAGGTGTTTGTGCTAGCAGAACAAGCTCAGGACACAGATTCTGGGGTTTTTGAACAGCTCTAGGGTTCGGGACCCAGCCAGCAAGGGCTGAAAGAAGGCAAGACAGCCTGTAAGGTGACAGGCAGCTCTTTCAGGAACTAGAATGCCTGGCAGCATCGCCTGGCAGATCCTGGCGAGGACAACCAACGCTGGTTGAGCCAAGGGCGGCACGGGCTGTGCGAAAAGATCTGGTTACAGGACTGCTGCTCTGCTGCAGAAAGAAAAGCTGGGGAACACAGGGAGATTTACCATGTGCTGCTAATGTTCATTGAGAGAAACATGCGCTGCAGGTATCAGAAATTCAGCAAACAGTGATGTGATAACCCTACCTAAGAATGGGCCTGCCAGCGTCGTGCTTTGCTCTGCCTCCACTTTTGTCCCCCGATGCAGGTGTTTGGAGACCCTTGCTAAGACTGGCTTCCCTTAAAAAGTGGCCTTCTCTGGGCCAGACATACACATACCCTACAGAGACCACTCCGGCCATTGCAGCCTACGTTGCGATGTTTGTTTTTCAGTTACACAAGTGATCCCAAATCAGGTCCAGAAAAATTCCAGGCCCTCTCCAGTACTCGCCTCCTTCAGGAAAAGTCTCCTTGCCCCATTCTTCAAAGAGTTTGCCTGGGACCTGACTCAGAACCTTTCATAAACCACAAATCCCATGGAGTCCCTTTTCCCATTCATAAGGAAAGAAATTCCTTGATGAAGTGGGCAGAATTGGAGGGAGAGTTCAGTTTTGCTACAGACCTGGGGTTACTTTTATTTCTTTTACCCCTCCCTTCTCTCATCTTGCCTACTTTGACTGCAAGGGGCAGGTCAAGCCCTTAATATAGGTTTGCATAGAACCTGGTGCAAGCAGGATCCTGATCTTGAAATCTGAAGTGGTTTTATAATAGGAGTCAAGTGGGTTTTAAGTCTGATTTCGCAAAACTAGGAGCCAGAGCTGTGGCCCCTTGGCTAAATGGACACGTTCTTACCTTATACCCCTCGGCCTCAAGAGAGACAGTGGCAAGAAGCCCCCTAAGGATCAGGGTGGTTTTGCACTCCCTTGCACTCAGCAGCTCATTGCTTGTTGGTGATGAGCAGAATAAAAATGAACAGTAATAGCGTAACCCCCTGCCCCCCCCGTACCTTTGAAAGCCAGAGGTCTCTGCATTAAACATGCCCAGTTTCAGTCCCCAGCCACATCTGCCACAGTGTCAGTGCTAGCCAGCTGGGCTGTTTATTTTAGGAAACAAATAGCTGTATCATTTGCACACGCCCTTATAGGCAGACACAGGCTCTCCATTCGTCTTCTTCAAAAGAAGGGAAGGCAAGATGAAGAACTCTTTGTTGCTGTGCGTGGCCTTGGCCGTCTCCTTGGGGTTTGTCCTTGTGGCAGGTAGGTGAGAAATGAAGAGCAGGGAAAACGGTGCTTAAGATATCGCTGACGGATTTTGTGTTATCAGCATTAATAATTCTAACAGCCAAAAATCAAACCTCAAAGCTGGCTCAAGCAGCCATGCTTCAGTGGTGCTTGGACATCTCAACGTCTTTCTGCGTCATAGAGCTGTGTGTTTTTAATTTCTGTTTTGAGGTTAAACAAGTGATAACTAGCTGCAAAGTCAAGGCACTATGATTTTATGGTTGGGTTTCTGAGGCAACAAGCCACAACCAGTCATGCCTGCTTTTCTGCAGTGTTAGGAAGCTTGCAAGAATCTTACCTGCTAGATTTAGAGGCTTCCTGGTGATCCTGTCATATGGTTACTGTAGGGTAATTCCATTGAATTTCTTGGAGATTCTTGATTTAGACTGAGATCAGACACGTGGTTCAGAGGTCATAGACACTGACTGTCCTAATGCCACATCTCTGCACGACAGTCTAAAGCGATCCTCATTCACGTGGTGGAATCTGGTCTGCAGGATGAAATCGGTGCTCAAGGCTAACTGTCCCAACAGCATGGATGACAGCATCCCAGCATTTCCTCCAACTTTTGGGAAAGGGCATCTTCTTGCCGACGCAGGTAGCTCCTGGGAAGTACCGTTTCTGATGAACGGTGTATAATCTATTAGCTGAAAAGGCAGAAAATGTTGATAAATACGGTGTTGGTTCAACACTCAGCCCAGTCTGCTTTTGCTAATTCACACGTATGACTTAAGAACTGTATATATAGCGTCATAGAACGGCTGGGGTTGGAAGGGACCTTAGGAGTGCTGTTTGTACTATTTATGTTGAAATTAATGTATTTTGGGGCTAACTGAGCCTCTTCCTACTTTAATTAAGTAGCCACTTGGACCTGCGGCAGAGTTTGAACAGGTATTTTTAGAATGTGCTTCCTTCTTCGCTATGCTGCAGCTGGATTGTGCTGGGCTTCACAGTGTATTACAGGACAATCCAATATTGGAAGATGAAAAATTTTGTCAAATATCTGCCTGAGTGTTGAGGAGGAAGCAAATCATGCACCAAAAAATCCAACCTGTAGACACTTAGAAGGGCATTAGGTAATTTTGCATTTAACTACCTTCACCCCAAAGAGAATTTAGTGGGTGATACATGGAAGTATTGCTGATAAAACTATCCTTTTTTTAACCTTTGTAATTTTACTTTAAAGAAAAAAAAATTGGAATATCTGTAGTTTTTATGCTTATTAAAGCCAAGAGTATTTCACAAGGAATTAAATCAGGACAATCCTTTCGGAGTGCATTCAAAAAACCCTGCATATTCATAAAAGAGTATCTTAAGATAATTTTAGAAGATTAATTAAAGCCTTCTTCAAAGGTTTTGGGACAACTTCCAAAGCTAATAGGATCTGACTTGAATATTGGCTTTGGATTAGGGGCTTATAAGAAATTGCACATAATATTGCATAGAATAGTGACAGACACCACAGGAAGGTGTATGTGAAGGACAAGAAGCTAGGGACTTTCTAGAAGAAAAAAGAAAAGCCAAGACTCAAGAAGGCAGGGACTAAAGAGGCTTTTGTAGTGAGATTCTACTTAAGAGGGAAATGTTCACGTTGAGTGATGCGCTGGCAGAGAAGAAGTATGCAGAGCAACAGAAGCTGGAATAAGGGGTACAAGGACAAGCACCATGAACCTCCAAATAACGATCATCTCCCTGTGCGAGTTTGCTATGGGCGAAGAAGGAAGAGGCTCTGGGTTGGGGAAAACCAACTAGCGAAGAACAAGCTATTTCAAATCCGTTCATTGCACAGTGAAACAGCGTCGCATGCCACGGGGAGCATGCAAAAAGCCTCTGGGTGACAGATGGGAAGTTCTACCCCGTTATGACTGAGTTTCATATTGAATAGCATATTACAAGTGCAGGAGACAGGCTGGTTTTTCCCTATTTGAGTAAGAATATCAGGACTGGAGTTTTCTGTGCAAACCATAAGCACCTTAAGTGCCACTTGCCTGTCACCACTAGGTCAGCAGGCTGCCTTCTTGCTGGGTCCTGTGGTGCTTCTTTGGCATCTATTTCCTCAGGGACCTGCAGGACAGAAAACATACAAGGAGCCTGCAATGAAAACTGACACATCTGCCACATTGGCAAGATCAGAGACGTTTGTTTAGGGGCCAGATCCAAACTAGGGTTTGGACTGATAGAACAGTCCTGGTGCCTGACAGAGGAATGGGGTAACCTCCCCTCTCAGGGCAAAAGCAACACTCCGGCTGCCAGGTACAGCTCAAGGCTTGCAAGGGGACTTCCCATATCATGAGAAATCACCACATGTTTGCCTCTGCCCTCCCACACAGTGTCTGGATTCATCGTCTTCTTCCCAGTCCCATCACCTCCACGTGCAGAAACATACTGCAGATGGAGCAGGGAAGACAGCTGAAGTCATCTTTGCCAAGAGGCTCATTTGTACCTGTTGCAACCTGGACTTAAATCAATCCAGATGCCATAACAGTGCATTCCTAGTTTTCTCATCACTTAGCTTCCTGGTAGAGCAGGTTTGATCCTGGGATTGCATTTTCTGTGCTTGTAGGTTATCCATGGGAGTCTGAGAATGAGGAAAACGTGCTGGTCAATAACAAGTGTCAGTGTGTAACGGTGACCTCCAAGTTCGTCCCCTCCAAAGAAAATCCTGATGAAGAAATCCTGGAGAGAAACATACGCATCCTGTAAGTAGCAGACAAGTATTACATAGAGACGGCGAGCAGGAGATCAAGTGTTACAGGAGTTCCCTTTTCTTTGCATTCTTTCCCATGTCCTGGTATTGATGAGGAGAACTGTTTTTCCTGAGGGCTGCTTTCTACAGTATCATGGACTATTTCCTTTTGCTTAGTGTTTTTCTAGCTCACATGAATGTACTTGCTCTTTGTCCTTCCAAACACAAAAAGCATCTCCATTTTTTAAGTAGTCCAGAATAACATTTCTACAGCTGATCTACTCTGAAACCAAATCGGGCCCATGACACTGGACTTGCTGGTCTGATAGTAAGCCTGCTATATAATAGTCTGGAAAAACTAGTTAATACCTGAACTGTCAGAAAATGTTGATCATATGAAGCAGATCTCAGCAGGATTTTGTCCTCTTTATTCACACAAACCTTACAGAAGTGTGTGTGTCTCTTGGAAACATGGATCAAGCTCAGGCTCAGAGCTGCAGGAGTTCTGGTAGAGTTCAACAGGAGAAGCACAAAACATCTGTCCTGCAAGTGTCTCATCTGCCAGCTCAGAATTAAAATAATGATAATGATAATGATAATAATAATAATAATAAAATAATACCAGCACAGTTACCTTGAAAGCGGCACTTTTGGAAGTTGCTGCAGCCATCTCGGGGAGGTTTGTTGCCTTTAAGGGCACAGAATGGCCAAGATGTTTCGTTCCTGGGCTTTTCTATGGAGAAGGGTTGGAAGGAAAATATCCTGCAGAGCAAAATGAGAGTTGAGAATTATTCACAGCCGAGTAGTTCCCTGCTTAATAAGAAGTTTTCATGAGAGCAATTCTCTTCCTTCCTTTGCAGAGTTCCCCTGAGGGCTCGAGAGAACATCTCTGACCCCTTGTCCCCTCTCAGAACCACTTTTGTTTACCGCATGACTCAACTGTAAGTAATTTTATTTCCTTAGTTAATTTTCTAAGACTTAATTTCCCCTGCAGCACTGCCTAGAGCAGCTCACAAGTGTTGCCTGAACACCAGTAGGGAAGGTGAGGGAGTCACAGAGCAAAGTGTGAAGCCTAGCTTTCACATTCTGTTGCATGCCAAGACATTATCTCCGTGATTAATTCACGTAAAAAGGTCTCACATTTACAGGGAATGTTTCATTCTGACTCCTGTTCATTTCAGATGTCTTAACTACCAGCCACTTACACATTGCCCCTTTAACCCTTCCTTTTAGGGAGCAGTCTTGCCCACAGCAGTTTGCCCATACTAAAAGCATCTTGCCTGGGAGTGCCTGGGTAAAACCTAGAAGGGCCACAGTACTCTGCTGGCTCCATCAGCAGATCAGCAAGGAATATTTGAGTTTCACCAGAGGCATCTTTTCAGCACAACTCTTAACGCTTGTTCTATTCTCCATCTCTTCCAGCTGCCAAAAATGCAATCCTGTAGAAATTGAGCTGGGTGGCCAAAAATACAAGGCTCAGCAAAGCACCTCCTGCGATGAACCCGAAACCTGCTATACCTACAACAGGGACACGTGCTACACCACCACCTTCCCATTGCGCTACCATGGGGAGATAAAACAAGTTCCAGCAGTTCTGACGCCCGAATCCTGCTTCGCCGATTAGCTCAGTGCCTTGTTGCACTTCGTGTTCCTACGAAAAATACACCTGTAGCGCCGTAGTACCTGGACAACAGTGTCCAAAATATCAGCCCCCACAGTAATGCCAACTTGCCTCTTCATATTATTTTCGACATCAGACTAGTGTCAATTCTGTTCTCTTACCCCTGCCACGTATGTGCAATGCTATTACTATTTGTCTCAGACATTATCACCATACAGACCAGATCCTCAGCAGATGCAAATCAGTGACTCCCTTGAAGCTAAGGGAGCTACACCTGGTTACAACAGCGGGGAACCTGTCTTTTTGACGGTCTTCCATCGGTCTTCATCTGAGCAAGGCTAGCCCGGACATCAGCAGGAGCGTCCGTGTACTTCCCTCCCTGAGCACTCTAAAGCACCTCTGCACAACCTTTATACGAGACCCTTTGGTGACATTAACAGAATTTGTGCCATTACTAGAAGGCCATTGTACAATCACATCTGACAGAAAAGACGAGGGACGAGACCAAGAATTCAGATGTCCAAGTTATTTACAACTGGACATTCTAGTCCCTTCTAGCACTTTGACAACTCCAAGCTTACAGTTTTCACATATGTTTAGAGAAAATCAAAAGATGCTACTGCCTTGAAGTGTTTTGCAAGTTGCCAGGACCTCAACTCTGACAGGAACAGTAAACTCTTCTAGGACATGTTAGATATTTCACTTCCCATGCTTATTTACTGATACTGCTGCCTTCTTCCACCCCTGCTCTCACTTCAGTTGCTGAAAACAAAAATCAAGTTGGCTTAAAATTCTTGTCTTGTTCCTCATTTTGCATTTAAAGCTTCTGACTGCTAGAGCAGGACCCAAGTTAAGGATTCTATCCTTTTTTTCAAATCTGTAGTCTTTTTCTTCATATGAGAGACACTCACCAAAAGAAGGAGCTTGCGATGTATTGCACCCTACATTTAAATGCATTACACCGGGTATTGCTCATAGAAACATCATGTGTACAAGTGCACGAGCTGTCCAGCATTACTTTTGGGCTGGCTGACATTTCTCACTGTTGTCACAAGTTGACCGTAAAGCATTAGGCTCTTCCCAAAAGTCTTTATTTGGTTTCATACCTAATTGGAGTAATAAACCAGCAAAAACCTTATTCCCATAATTGTAGCTTTGTTAGTGAAACATTAAATAAAGTTTTTTTTTCTGCAGCACTCTGTGTATTATATTCCAGTTCAATAAGAACTCACAAGAAAAAGCCAAATCTATAATTATACTGCTTCCTCCTTCGCAGTGAAGTAAGAAGCTCTCCCTAAATAACTGCTTATACTTACAGGCAAAGCCTCCTGAAATACTGGGACAGAAATATGCTGACGCATTTGCAGAAACTATGACAGATTGAGGTTGAACTGGTTTAGGATTTTAGGATTAGCTCCGCCTCTCTGAGCTGCTTCAAGGCCCTGTGAGTCAGTGCAGGATCAGAGTTTAAAAATGCCAAACTCACCTAAATGACTCTTGAAATTGCAATCTGCAGATCACAATTATACCCCACCGATGAAAAATGTGCCTTAAAGGCAGATATGTCAGGAGCTAGTCATCCATATGCAAGCTGTCTGTCCCCAAAAAATATCTGGGGGGGCTAAATTTAGAAGAGCAAAAGAATAAAGAGGACTGAAACAAATTATTCTAATGCTACATCAAAGTGATGGAAAATGAACTAAAACCCTTTTTTTTTCCTCCTTCGTGCAGTAAGATACCCAATTCAAAGAAACACAAAATGTTAAAGGAGGCAAAGAGACTCCTGTCATGTACTGACACTGCTCTAAGTATTACGGCTCACTGAAATTTCTCTCAAAGACATTTTTATCTTCGAAGCCCTGGTGTTCTGAAGCTGGGAGTGCTGTGATAGTCAAAGCAAGTCATGGTGAGGCTGCATTACCAGACACAGCACTCAGGATGGAAGCGGGCCAGCTTTTCCAGCTCTTGCTGCAGTGCTGAAGGTACTTGAGAAGCGTGAGAATGCACTGAAAAAAGGAAAGGATTTGCAATTACTCGACCTCAACTTAGAAACCTGTCACTTCGGGGCTATTTACACAGCTATTAGTTAGTTTCTCTCACTGTCTTGGTAAATCAAAGACTTAAAACTCAACTGCGAAGTGTTGTTTGAGAAGGAAGAATTAGAGTTGTTTTCCACCTAGAAGTGGACATTAAAAGAGCATAGGTAAGACATTATGAGGTATTTATTCAAAGATGGTACTTCTGGGGTATTTAAATAACGTTTAGAAAAGTTTGTCTATTCAAAAAAGTTTTCTTTGCTATTTGGTTACTCTTTGGGACATATTGGATTTGACCTGTAAAAACCGATTGGCAAAAAACCTGACTGCCTGATTTAAATACAGAGATACGCTGGTGCTGCAGGCAAAGCACTGGGACTGCACGCAAAGCTGGGAGTGACAATCCTCTAGTGCCACCTAGATTGCTTTAGAGCAGCAGAATCCACGAGATTGTTATTCTCCCACTAGAGCTGCAAATGACAGAACATTTATCACGGCTATTAGTCTAACAACACCCTACTTTGTTGAACAACAGCACAGAGTTACTATGTCTCAGTCTGCAAATAATTTATGAGTCTGTAACATAATCCAGAAATAAATATTTGTGTTGGGCTTTGAGACTTGTTTCTTTTTCTCGAAGAAGACCAGCACTGATCCTCTTCTCAGTTACAAAAATGTAAGAATTCAATCCAGGAAGACAAATTCCCTGAAGAACAGGAATTTACACAGAATTTAAATGAGATGTTAGCCATCAAATACACTATAAAGATTTAAGCAAAACCTCCAAACATTCTGAGAACTGTACTCAAACTCCGCAGCTCTTGATGGGAGAGAAGATGGGGGCTGACTGTCACAAGGGAATCTGTATTTTTCTTTTCCAGTTCTTGCAGTCCTACACAGAAGTGTTTTTTACCAAACTCCTTCTGAAAGCAGCCATATAGCAAAAGTGTCAGAACAAGCCTTCATTACATGGATAACCACAGACCTAGGTACCCCAGTAAAACAGCGAGCAATCTAGGACTGGACAAAAGAGGACCTCTAGCTGCTCAGCCCCAAATTCCCAACCTGCAATCAAAAGAAATTTTATTCCATCCCTGAACATTGGAACCCAAATGCTGCTTAATTCATTAAAGAATTTTGTAGTAAGTTACTTAACTTACTTAACTTGCAGAAAACTTACTTAACTTACTTAACTTGCAGAAAAACACCAAAGAGTGACCTTGGGAACACATTTCCTGATTTACTGTACTTACTAATCAGACCTAATTTCCTGATTTACTGTATGAACACAAAACATTGCTTGAAGCTGAAGCATTTAGTTTAGGTTTTTTTTAGGGCGTACTTAACCCATGCATCAACTATACACAAAAAGCAACACTGTTAAAAAATTATCATAAAGTTTTTACAATAATCTTAACAGATATTTATTCCATACTTAAAGAGAGTTAAAAAAAATGAAAGAAACCTAAGCTTGTTCTCTATAATGCCCAGAATAGCTAGATGTATTTTTAGGAGCTTAGTATAGAAAGACAAAAAAGTGTTTTTTAAAAAAATAATTCTATGGCAGCTTGTCAGTAATATGTATTAGTGAGACCTGTCATGAGCACCTGCTCTTAAGGGCTGGATTCAATTCCTCATCAGTGCTGCTCCACAGCTGACAGTACTTAAGGTTTAAAAGCTGCCTTTTTTGCGGGTGTGTAAGGGTACGTGATCCAGCCGGGGCGGCTGCAGGGTCGTTGTGCGGGAGGGATATGATGCAAGGGAGGAGGAGAAAACCAATCAATGAAATGAATCAGAAAACTGATATAATGACCTGCTGTTCCCTATACGTGACTCCTGTTTAACTGTGTCAGTGAGCAGGAAGAGGTGCCACAATGGAGCTGCTTTGCCCCCGCGCGGGACGGAGAGGCCGCCTCTCGCACAAGTTTGTCCCTCGGCGGCGCCGGTCGGAGGTTGGGG